TTATTTGTTTGTTTGTGTTTTATCCCCCAGAGAAAATAAATAACAAATTGAGGACGCTTTTTAGTACCTATTTAAAATATGTTCCTGAGTCCTATGTCTTGCTTGGTCTTTGCTGTCCCTGCAGGAGCCACCTGAAAACAGTCCTGCAAGTGAAAACAAGTACAGTATTTGCCAGTACCCTCCCACCTGCTATAAGTGCCCTGCCCACTCTCAAGTCTTCAAGAGCCACCCCTGGCCCTTCTGCCCTGGGGCTCTTGGCTGTAGTTTCCAAAATATTCTTTGAATACCTCTCATTTCTATCTATTCAGCTTGAATGCATCTTAAAAAGAACTTACATTGAAAATGTGGAGGTACTTATTTTGATTTGCGTAAGGTCCAGAGCAAAATATCTGCCATTATTGGATGTGGTTTGCTGCCCACTCTAGCCTTAATAGCAGCTGTGATTTAGAGAAGACTCCAAGCTCTGGATTTATGCAGGTCACATCACAGTAGGCTGAGGCGTGTGGCCCAGAATGGTTTAACTGGGTTCTCTGCATGTCGAAGTTCTTGTTGCGGGTGGGGGATGTACTGGCAAGAGGAGGTGCTTGCTGCTGTGTGGATCTGAAGCACTTTCCACCTGGTTTAACTGGTTTCTTCCACCTGCATTTGAAGATAATGTTTAGCCATCTCTATTTCTAATTATTTTCTAATTTCAGAATGTACTTAATTTCCATAGATGGCAATTTGAAGGGCATGTAGCCAAGATCATGGCATCTGAATAAAATGTTTCCTTCATTGCCGTCACAACTTTGTTTTCATTTATCAACTACTCTTTTCTTGGTTTATAAGATTAAGCAAAATCCAAGTGTGTAGAACATGAAACTCAGCCTCTTTGCCGTCTTGCCCAAAGCACAAATAAACAATGCATCAGTGATGAGTCAGGGTGCCTCTGTCATTTTCTTTCTTTCTTTTTACAAAAATTTGATAAAACATTTTCTTTAACCCAATGTATCCAGAATATTATCAATTCAATATGTCATACACACACACACACACACACACACACACACACACACACACACACACACACATACTTGTAAAGTTTTTTATTTTTGTGGTGCTAGGGATTGAACATGCTAGGCAAGTATTCTACCACTGAGTTACACTCTGAGCCCAAGATAAAGATTATTAATTTGGAAAGCTTTCAAAATTCAGGGTATATTTCATACCTATAGCACATCTCATTTTTGTTGTTTGTTTGAGATTTTATTTTGAGTTTTGCTGTATCTTTAACCCTTTTTATTTTTTGTTGGAGACTGTGTCTTGTGAAGTCAGGAAATTGCTCAGGCGGGGTTGGAATTTGTGATTGTCCTGGTTCAGCCTCCCAGAGTGCAGGGATTATGGTGTGTCCCATGGTGCCCGGTGCCTGGTAGCATGTCTCATTTTTGACCACACTTCAGATGCTTCACAGGCACATGTGGCAAATGGTTACTGCTTTGTTCTGAGCAGCTCTGTGATCTCTGGAAGAGAGGGAGTGGGGTACATGGGCTTCAGCTTTGGGGTTGGGGTAAAATCTCACAGCGGCAACAGCTGCTGGAGAAACCAGGCCCCCTTTTCTCTCCTAGACTGGACCCCTTCTGTAGGCCACTTGTGGCCCTCAGGACTCCCTTGAGTGGTGAGATTGTTGCTTCTTAGAGGTCTCTTTCACTTTGGATCTTCCCCATCTCGATACCCTGTTAGCCCCTACCTCAGTCATTTTTTTAACTCCTTTTTTCCCCTGGTACCAGGGATTCAAACTCAGGACCTTGCACTTGTGAGACAGGCGCGGCATTGCTGAGCTACATTCCCAGCCCATTCTCTTAACTTACACAAAGTTTTTTTATGCTGGGTATTAAACCCAGGAGTCTGTGAGTGCTGTGCACTCAGTCTGTCATGGAGCCACTCTTCACTCATTTGTGGTTTAGATCTAAAATGGTTTTAGACCCAAATGTAAGTCTCGTATATTCAGAGACGGGCCTTTTGGAAGGTGATTGGATTGTGAGGGCTCTGTACTCACCAGTGGATTGATCTGTTGTTGAGTTTATGGTTGCATGTGCTGTTGGAAGCTGTGGCCTGCTTGGAGGTAGGCCACTGTGGGCATGGCTGGAAGGGTATGTTTTTGTCCCCGCTCCTCCATTCTCTCTCTGCTTCTGGGCTGCCATGCCAAGCTTTTCTCTTCCCTGCTGCTGCTGCCTTAGAGCCGGCCAACCACATGTGGACTGAGCCCACTGAAGCTCACTAAGTAAACCTCTCCTCCCTTAAGTTAGAAGGGCATTTTTGCATGCAGAATTTCAGATAGCAAAGCATTTGAAAGGCTTGATGGACTCTTCAGTATTGAGCACCTTGAGCACCTAGATCTCACTGTTCTTCCCATACATTGGCATTAACTTGTGTCACTTCAGGGTCACATAGGACTTGATCACTTTAATTTGTTTCTTTGCTAGTTACGATTAATGTCATTAGCAATCTGATTGTCACTTACCAACAGTCGCTAATAACTGTATATGTTGTAAAGCCACGGAAAGGCTACTAAAACGGTGTCCATACTGAATTGTAAGAGTGTCCTTCGCAGGCTGAATACAGTTCAGACAGTCGCACAAGTGTAGTGAGCAACAGAAGTCAGCTGAGAGGAAAGAACACTTCCTGCCAAAGGGTGTTCAGCAAAGAATTTTTGAGAAAGAGCTAGGCTTTGAGCCGCTCCGGGATCAGGGATGTTGCACGTCTCCGGGGCAGTGATGCCCCATCCCCAGTCCTGCAGCAGCACCCTTCTCCTGATGCTCTTTCCCACTGCTCCCTGAGGGGCAGCCAGCCGTGTTCTGGTGGAGTCCCCATCCGGATGTCACATCAGTGCATAGTGCTTGATGGGCGGAAATGAAGTCAAAAGCCTTTGCACCTGTGAGTTAGCGTTCTCTCCGTCTCCTCTGTGGCACTACTTAGAGGTTCAAGGAGTCTACAGAACCTGGAAAAGACATTCTAAAATGTTCACTTTCATCCTCAGCTGAAGTGCAGTATGCTGTTGAGAAGTTTATATTGTCTTAAGTTGTAGTTATAACATGCAGAATTAATGAAGCCAGACCTGGTGTGTGAAGAGAAGCTCACATTGTAACCTTTTTTTCTCCAAAGTCCAGGAAACTTGAAAGTAAGCCTTATACCTCACCCATCTTTCACTCTGCTCTTCTTCTCTGCTCTCCTCTGAGGCCCATGGTGGGCCAGGGTGCTCACTTCCCCTGCTTTTCTGTTTGCTCTCCCAAAGCCTTGCTGCATTTTCTCCCAAACTATGTTGTGGTGTGGGCTTTATTTATTTTATCTCTTTTGAAAAATAAAGTTTAGGGCCGTGAATTTAGCTCAGTGGCACTGCAACTGCCTTACAGGCACAGGGGTCCTGAGTTCAGTTTCTGGTACTAAAAATAAATAAAAATAAATATGAACATACACAATGCTTTTTGAAATCAGAGCATAGTGCCTGTATACAGGCAAATCTTCACAGTTCTTTCTGGTAGGCCATATTTTTGAAGAAAAAGTTTGCGCTGCATGGTGTTGATGTATCAACTTGGGGCATTTTTGTTGACATCCTGGTGTAGCCTAGTGCTTTAATATTCATCCCTTCCACGCTTTTTTTTTTTTTTTTTTTTTTTTTTTTTTTTTTTTTTTTTTTTTTTTTTTTTTTTTTTGGTACCAGGGATCGAACTTGGGACCTTACACATGCGAAGCAGGCGGCGGAACCACTGAGCTAAATCCCCGACACCCTTCGACTCTTCTTTATTGGAGATTTATTATCAAAAGTTCTTTGTAACCAAACAAGGAGAAATGCATATGGTCCTCCTAACTGGCTTCAGCGTCCTTGTCACATGGCCAGACTTGTCTGCACTGGTCTGCTCCAGACTCCTGTTTGCAGCTTACTTAGCACAACCTTACCAAAACCAGCACTCAGAATATGTGTAAATGCTACTCATGAGAAGCCAAGTTGAGTGCAAGGCTCTGACACTAGGCTGTGTTCCAGCTCCTTGGTCCATGGTCTTGCTCCCACCCCCATCTTAATTAGAGGCCATGGTAGAGGTTGGGATGCTGGGAAGACTGTCCTCCGTAGGGTTTCTTTTTCTGTGCTTTCCTGGATCTTCTTATGGGGACACCCTCCCCACCCCTCCATTTAGACCTCAGTAGCAGTTTATCGAACTACATAGAATAGCTCATTGGGAAATTGGCTGGGACTGCATTGAATGTGTGAATGACCCTGGGGAGAGCTGGCATCTTCACAAGGTCAAGTGTCCTACCCAGGCAGGAACACTTTCTGTTTGTTCAAGTAGTTTGTGTTTTGCAGGAGAGTGTTAACAAATTCTCAACTACATTTTGTACATTTCTTCCTAAGCTTATTCCTACATATTTAATCTTTTTGTTGCTTTATTAGTGTGGTTTCCTTTGCTACAATGCCCTCTGTCTGTTGTATGTATGTATATAATATACATATATAAAATACTCCTGAGGTTTGTATGTTAATTTCAGGTCCTGCTAATTGGTGACTCATGCACTATGGCCATTGAATGTCCCAGCAGGAGTAGGGGGTTTTGAGCACTTGAGGGCAGGAATGTATTTCACAGCTCGGTCTCCTTCCTAACTCTGCCACTGCTGCTTTGTACACTACAGGCCCCATTTGAGCTTCTTGTCTTTGTCCCATGTTCCAGTAATGTGTTCAGAGGGATTCCCTACTTCTGAGAAATACCTGGTATCAGTGTAGTAGTAGCATCTGACCTAGGTTGCCACGTGGCAGACCTTTGGCCTTTGTTGTGGTTCACAGTTAATGTGTGAACAAGTGAGGAGCAGGCTCTCACCATGGCCCTGTGACATTGCTCCTGTTCTCTAGATGCAGAAGCTTGGGATCATATGTGCAGGGCCGACGGCTAACTGCAGACCCGGAGCACAGGACGAGGATGCCTTCTGGCTGTGCTGAATCCCTGACAAACATCTCATTTCTTCTCCCACCACAGGCCCGGTATAAGCAGAGCCTAGACCCCACTGTGGATGAAGTCAAGAAACTCTGCACGTCACTGCGTCGGAACGCCAAGGAGGAACGTGTCCTTTTTCACTACAATGGCCACGGGGTGCCCAGGCCCACGGTGAATGGCGAGGTCTGGGTCTTCAACAAGGTGGGCCCACCGTTGGCAACCTGCTATCCTCCTGCCTGCAGGCCACTCAGCTGGGTGCTTGGCTGAGGCCTGGCTCACCGTAGCTCTGCTGACCCATGGATATTTCATCCACTCAGCAACCAGAGAGCAGGAAGGTGGACTGGGGTGTGGGGTCAGTTTTTGCAGGAAATTTTGGGATCACCTCCATGTTGTGTTGGTGATAAAAGCTGAAAAATAATTATGCACAGGAGCCATTTCTTTTGGAGGACTCACTGCCAAAAGGTCCAAAGCACACCCAGCATGAGTAGATAGCAGCGTGTAGCTCTCTGAGGAGAGGCCTCAAGAGCACCTGCCTCCAGCCTAAGCAGTTTTGTTAGAGGCTTCCCTTCTGTGATCTTGGAAAACAAGATGCCTTGAGTACTTTAATGTGCTCAGGCCCAACCACTCTGAAGAGGCAGAGTGTTCTTGGTAGATAACCACGTGTGTTTGGAAAGCATACACAGTAGGTCTGGGGGTCTTTGTGGGTGACCTGGGACCACCCAGGTGGGCTTCTGCATGTCCTTGTTTCAGCCAGTCTTCTGATCTGTATATTCATCCCTTGTCAAATGGCAGCTGGGTGACTTCTTCCTTCCTATCACGTGTGAGGCCGTGGCACGCCTGTGCCCTCTCAGTGCCCACTGTGCAGGAGGACATTGGTGGGTCGCATATTTGTACTGTTCTGAATAGCACAAGTGTTTCAGGTGCCACCTTCTTCAGCAGCACTGGGTCCTGCCAGCAATTATTTGTAGATTTACCAGTTGGGTGAGCATAGAAATGGTAGATTGTGTTGAAATTTGAATTTCCTTGGTAATTGTTGAGGGTGAGCACATTTTGATTTACATACTAGCCACATAGGCTTCCTGTTCCATGAAGCATCCAGGCTCCTGTCTGTTTTCCTTTGGGTTATTTGCCTTTTTCGTGCTTGTTTGAGGGGATTCTTTATATTCCAGACAGTACTTCTTCATCATTCTTGTGAATTGTGATTGTCTTCTCTCTGGGTTTATGACTTGTTCAGTGATTTTTCCCATTCTCTTTACGGTATCCCTTGATCGACAAAATTTGTTTATTCTGAAGTGGTCACAACTGTCACTCTCTCCTTTATGGTGCAGACTTCTTATTCCCTATTTAAGATGACTTTCTTTCTGTGGAGGCCATAGAAATAGTTTGCTGTATGTTCTCCTAATGTTTTCATCTATTTTATTTAGGTCTTTAAAATTGCCGTGGAACGGACTGTTTATGTGTAGAGTGAGATAGAGGCCCAAATTCAGGGTTATAAGTTAACACCTGCCTGTTTCATCGCTATTATTGTCAGGTTTGAACTACATTCTGCATCATATTGTGTGTTGTGTTTCTGAACTTTCTGTTCAGCACCAAGCATTTATCCTAAGTCTAGGTTTTCAGTAGTCTTGGTTTGGGGGAAGGTGAGCACCCCTCTGTTCTGCTTGGGGGTGGTTTAGCTAGTCTTGCCCTTTGATCTGTGAAAAGGCTGAATCCATTATGATCAGTTCCATGAGAACACCTTTTACAATTGTGTACATCAATAGATTATTGTGGGAGAGTAAACATCATTACAATATTAAGTCTTCCAAACTGTTGTATTGCCCAAGCTAGTCCCAAATTCATTCACTCTGGTGATCCTCTCTCCTCAAGCTCTTGAGAAGCAGGGACTATGGGCATGCACTACCATATCCAGCAAACCATGTTTTTAAAAATGTTTGTCAGTATAGTTTTATAATTTTTTTGATAAATGTTTTTATTTCTCAGTCAATTATCTTGTGGAGTATATGTAAAGGTAGATCATTTTTATACTCATACATTGTACATGGCAATATCTCCAACCTCTCTTAGAGATTCTAATAACTTATCAGTGTGTATTCTTAGATTTTCCTAATAGATCTGATGTAAGAGTTTTATTTCTTCCTTTCCAGTCTGTGCCTTTTATTTATTTACTTGTCTTCCTGCACTATCTAGGAGACTGGATACAGCATCTGGATGTATCTGTGTCTCCTTTGTCATTTCTGGATGAAGCTTTTTATTTCATTACATGGTGTTCATATAGGCTATTTGGGGAGGGCAAAACATCTTTTATTGGATTAAGAAAGCTCTATTCCTGGTTTGATTTTTTTGTTTGTTTTTGTTTTTTGAGACAAGGTCTTGCTGTGTAGTTCAGGCTGGCCTTTATCTCCTATATAGCCCAGGCTGGACTCTAACTTGTGGCAGTCCCCCTGCCTCAGCCACCCAAGTGCTTAGGATTACAGGTGTGCACCACCACATCTAGCTTGATTTCTTAAGATCATGAAAAGATGTTGATTTTTCTGAAGCCATTACTTTTGTTTCTATTAAGAGGGTCTTGTGATTTCTTTCCCTTTAACTGGTAATGTGTCAAATGAAAACCATTGTGCACCTTCTATTTTTTTTTTTTTTTTGTACTGGGGATCAAACACGTTCTATTCTTGGAAGAACCTATTTGTCATGATAAACTGTTTCATACATGGTTTAATTCACTGTGCCGGTATTTGTTTGGTATTTTAAACTTTAGTTCATGTGTGAGATTTGTCTAGGATTTTTCTTTCTCTCACTGTCTGCCTGGTCTGAGTAATAACTGGCCTTAAAATAAGTTGGTGGATATTTCTTCTTTCGTATACACTGGAATAACTGTTATAGGATTTGAAGCACTTGTCGTGTACACGTTGGTAGAGCTTGCAGGTGAGACCGAACGTGGTTATGCTGGAGGAGGTTTTCTTATGGTTAAAGAGATTGGGTGCTTCCATCTCTTCTCAAGTCAGGAGTTTGTGCACCTTGCTAAGCTTTCAAATTTGTTGCCATTTATTGCTCACGATACCCTTTATTAACTTGTCGGTGTCTGGGGTGTCTCTTAATGATGTGCCATTTATCATTTTGGTACTGGTTATATATGCTTTCTCTTCACAGTTTTGTCAAAGAACCAACTTTGAGGTTTGATCCTCCAGAAATTGGAAGAGCAGTAGAACAAATACCTGTACACTTTTCACCTGTGGCCAGCAGGTGTGGCTGCCTGGTTTGTTGTGTCTCTTTCCATGGGCCACTGTTGTTTTCCTGAACTACTTGTAAGATGCAGGCATAATGACATTAAGAGTTAGATGTCTTTCTATCTAAATACAAACAAGTCTCTGATATCATTTAATATAGAGCCCGTATTCATACGTCCCAGAATGTCTCAGAAATGTCTCCGTAACAAACATTTTGCACTTGTTCATCCTATTTTCTGCTCAGGCCCTGCCAAGGTTCACATGCTATGCCTATCCCTGAGACTTGCCCAGTGTCCTTGAGTGTAAATCAATCTCCTTGTCTTAGTTTTCCTTCTAAACCTTGACCTTTTTTTAAAGTGAAATTTTATCCTATTGTCTTCCTTTGCTAAGTTAAAATAGTTATGAATAGGTCTTTTAAAAACAGTAGACCTTATTTTTTTGTGTACTTGGCTTTGAACCCAGGACCTTGTGCTTGCAAGGCAGAGTAGACCTTGGTTTTTAAAGCAGTTCTAGTTTTACAGAAAAATTGAACAGTCCAGGCACATACTACATAGATCTCTGATTTTCCTGTTATTGGTATCTTGCTTTGCTGTTTTACATTTGTTATAATTTAAGAACTGTGATACATTGTTATTCATGGTGCTCATGGTTTATACTAAGGTTCCTTCTTGGTGTTGGACATCCTGTGCATTTTGCCAAATGCATGGTCACGTATCTGGAATTATGATATCACGTAGAGTTCTTTCATGGCTTTAGAAGTCTTCTGTGTATCACCTCTCTACCACTCTCTCCCTTTCTTCTTCCTCTTTAGAGCTGTCTTTTCAGAGTGCACCATAGTTCCAACTGTAATGCATGTGACCTTTCAGACTGGCCTCTTCTACTTGACAATACACATGTATGATTCCTCCATGTCTTTTCATGGCTTGACAGATCATTTCGTTGTATTAGCAAATAATATTTCTGTTGTATGGCTATACCACAGATTATCTATTCATGTACCTGATAAAGGTTATCTCAGCTCCTTCTAATATTTGGCAATCACAAATAAGGCTGTTATAAACATCTGAGTACACGTTTTTGTGTGGACATACATTTTTTAATCTCACTTGAGTAGGGCACAATTTCTGGATCATATGGTAAGAGTTGCTTTGTATAAAATGTCAGTCTTTTTTCCAGAGTGTCTGCTATTTGCATACCCACCAGCATTGAATGAGAGCTACTGTTGCTTCACATCCTCACCAGCATTTGGTGTTGTCTGTATTTGGCTGTTAGCCATTCTTTTCGGTATAGAGAGATTTCTTCTTATTATTATTTTATTTGTAATTGTAATTGTTATTATGTGTTAATTTTTAATGGCATATCATGTTGAACATCTCATATGCTTATGTGCCATCTGTATATTTTCCTTGGTGAGGTGTCCAGATCTTTTGCCCTTTTTGTGGTTCTGGGATGGAACCCAAGGACTTGAACATACCAGGCAAATGATCTACTACTGAGCTATACCTCCAGCCCAGCCCATCTTAAAAATCAGATTGTGTGCCTTCTAGACATTGAGTTTCAAAAATTCTTTCTACATTTCATTTATTTACTTTTAAGTATTTTTATTACTACATGGTGATTACATTCATCATAGGGAATTGGTACATGTATAATAACATATCTTAATTATTTTTATTTCTCCTTTCCTTCCCTCTTCCCTTCTCTGGTCCTCTTCCCATTTGCAAAAGATCGTTGCACATTTTAGATGTCAGTATTTTGTCAGGTAGGTGTTTTGTAAGTATTTTCTCCTGGTTTGTGGCTGTTTTCATTTATTAACAGTAGATGGTAACTTTTTAAAGGGTTCAAGCCAGTTATTTTTTAGACTGTCCAAAGTTATGGTTCACTTTGTTTATGAATTTATATCAGACTGGATCGAAAAGCCTGATGAAACTTTTGCTGTCCACAGAAGTACCCTATAAGTACAGAGACTTAGGA